TTGTGAGCTTCACAGTACTTTCCAAGTCTAGTTCAATGTCTGGGGGATGGCAGCCCGCCCCCCACGCCCCCCATCAAAGGTGGTCATGTTCATCTCTGCATTGTCCTGTCCTGGGGCTCATTTCTACAAGGTGGGATTTTATGGTGGTTACAAGCCCGGCCTTTGGAGGCTACCTATTGTTCGAATCCAGCAGTGAGACTCTGGACAAATGACTTAACTTGTCTGAGCCTTGCTTTCCTCATCTGTAAAATGGGCATAGTAATGGCACCTCACTCATATTTCTGAGGAATAAATGGGCAAGTGCACATGAGGCGCAGTGAAGGGCTCCTGCCGCGCTAAGAGCTGTAGACGCATGTGCTCTCGTCACTTCCGCATGTATGTGTCTGTCTCCCTCACAAGCACTGGCAGGTGTCTCACTCCTGTCTGCAGACCCAGCACCCGCTGTGGAGCCTCACACACAATGGATTGTCCATCAGATGTTTCATAAGAGAATGAAGGAATCTGTGGTCCTGGGAGAGGTGGCAGGTTAAGTGGATTCAACCTGATCCTAAGTGTGGAAAAGAGATGAGGAGCATGTCATGCCTCAGCAGCATGGGGTCCCCAGAAGATGGGCTCCAGCGAGGACCAGAATGGGGCCCCCATTTGACCTCCTAAGACAGGCTGCCCCCAAGGTAGACCACAAAACCCAACTTCCCCTCCACATGGATCTCACACACATCTGCTCTTCTTCCCAAATCTTTGCATGTTCATTCATTTAATGGATCTACATTATCAGCAGTGTGGGTGGAATTGAGTGAGGTGCTAGGGATAGAGCAATGAAGAGCAGTATGGCTGGTCTGTGTCCCCATGTTACATGCCGCCTAGTAGGGGAAACTAGGAGGAATCGAGTAAATGGCTATTACTAAATGTGCCAGAGTCTTTGATGTGCCCTCAGGATACAGATCTACAGCGCAGGGTTGACTTGGAGAAGCAGCCATAGGGCCCTTGCCAAGGTGGCGACATTTTAGGACTGGAAAAGGGACGATGGTGTCACTAGCTGAAGGGTCTCCAAAGCCAGACACCTCAGTGCCAGCCTCAATTCATTTCTCCATCACTCCCCTCATCCCGTCTCTTTCTAGAGGAAAGAATTCGAGGTGGGGCAGCTAGACAGTAGGCTCTGGCTGGGCCCGCGGGCCCTCAAGAGAGGCCGGCAGCACCTCGGACAGCGGACGCGGGCGGTCGGGGTGGGGCGGGGCAGGGGGTGTGGCGTTCATCTGTCTCTCCTGTGCCAGGCCGGGCTGGGCTGCTGTGGGGTCAGAAACACCAATACCAGCCACTTGCCCACCGTCATCAATTCCTTTACCAGCTTCAGAGCACCTTGGACAAGTTACATCCCCTGTAAGTGCCCCCATTTCCCCTTCGACACATTTGCGGTGGCACTGGCAGACTTGGCTTTCAAGGGCCCTTCCAACTCAGCGAATCCATTCTGGAACAGAGGATGTGACTGCACGCAATTCAGCAGAGCTGAAAGCTGAACCCCTGGGACCTTGGTGCCCTGGGGGGGGGTTCATGACAGTGATTTCCCACTGATCTATGGAGAAGTGAGGATGGAAGAGAGGACATTAAATGTGTTCATGTTCATTTGGGCCAAATACTGTGCTAAGCCTGGTTGCTTACAAAGGAATTTAAAACACAGCACTTGCTATCAACCTTCCGAGTGGCAACTTGGACAGATCTCTTCCCACCCTTGGGCCGTGGCTCCCCATCTGTGAAGAGAGGTGGTTGAATCCAACCCCCTCCCATACAGGCATTTTGCTATTTCTACATCGATCTGAAGTCGGATAACGAAGGACTGACTTCTAGCAGGGGGCCTGCTGGGCCTGCCAAACCCTTTGTAACTCACATCCATTGCAGGTTCAGAGAGGACGAGGTACTTGTCAACAGTCACACAGCTTAAAAAAAAAAAAAAAGACACAGCTTGTAAGCAGTGGAGCCTGGATTTGAACCCCTGACTGCAAGACTGCAATTATAGTTTTCCCCCTAAGCCCATATCCACAAGAGGAGAGACTGACTAAGGAGGCTCTCATAATGTACAGAATCTCAGAATAGGAAGGGCAGGCAAAGCTCATTCTCCAGGCTTAGGAATTACTCCATCCTCCTTCTGAATGATTTCTTCAATTGTTATAAAGGGTCAGCTCAGGACTTGCTGTGTGCCTGGCCAGGTGCGGGGGGCCAAGGCTCCGGGATGAAAGTAGACCCAGTCCCTGCCTGCACTGGGTCCCCAACACAAAGTCACAAGCCCAGGGAGAGAGAGATCAGCAGCGTGTCGTGGGGTCACGGGGAGAGTGAAGCCTGTGCCTGTGAAGTTATGGGATGCTTCCCAGAGGGGGAGCATTTGAAAGACGAGTGGGGGATTCAGTAACCAGGAAACAGCAAGGAAGGGCATCGGGTTGAGGGACCAGAATGTGTAAAGCCATGGCACAGAGTTATGGACCAAGGATGCAGGTTGGGAAGTAGAGGTCAGAACTGGCTAGCCAAGAGATGCTACTTGGCTCACAGATGGCTGTAAATGTTTTAAAAGTCTCAGTTGTCAGTATTGAAAATCTGGGAGATTTTATTTCGAAATTCTGATTTTCAGTTTCTCTGAACTTTTTGGAAGATCTGAGCCCACGTTCTCCATGGCAGCAATTGGTCAGAGCTGAAGAATGGCTGCTTTGCCCATTTATGTCATTTGGTTAGGCCTCGTAGACATTTTGAGGTGGTATTCTCCAATCTACAGCATCAGGTGCTTCCCCCTCCCCTGCCGCCACCCCCAGCTAGTGACTAGCCCAAAAGTAAAGATACTGGAAGATGGGAAGTGCATGGGGGTTGTGGTGGCCTGGGGGCACTCCTCAGGCGGAGCTCCCTACTCTCCACTGTAAATGGCTCTGGGCCCCAAGCCCCTCCCGGGAGGCCGAAGACAAAAGGAGGGTCCCAGTTCCTCAGTGACAAATCCACTTCTGGATCCAGGGAACAAGCAGCCTGATTTTAACTCAAGGAAGGATGGGGATCATGGCCTTTCCTTTTCCATCAAAATGCATGATCCCTTTCTGTTCCAGCAGACTCTCCGGGGTTCGGCCTGTTGACAATGGTGAGAGCAGGCTACAATCACTATTAAATATTCATTTAGAAAAACAATCAAACCTTTCTGCACATCAAATATTTGCTTCTAGATTTTTTTTTTTTAAATCCAAACACCTATATCTTGGCAGCATTCACTTCCAAAGAATGCAAGTTTCAGTTGCTGAGGCCAAAACAGACATTTTTCCTGAGGCCAAATGGTTCCAGAATGTTTGCCAAATATTTCCCACCCTCTTAAAAATACAATAAAATTAGCAAAGCACTAACATTAAAGAATATTAAAACCAGAAAAAACATCAAAGCACAAAACCCCACAACCACCCCCTAAATTGGCACAACCGTCCTCCCCTTTGCCCGTGGCCTTCCAGCCCTTGCCATGAGGGAGACTGTCCCAACAGTCAGAGCTGCTTTGGGGGTGGAGGAAGGGTAATGAACTGTCTGTCTGTAGAGGTATGCAAGCAAGAGCTTAGCTTCAGCAGGAATTCCCAGCTCAGTGGGGCTTGCTACAAAGAGCCTGTCTGACCCTAAAGGATGACAAGAATGTCTGAGCCTCCATTAGAGCTCAGAGTAGAAAAACCGATGAATGTCTTTAATGAGGAAATTCAGTCCAGCTGCTTATCCTTGCTGAGTGTCCATTCCCTCATCTGTAAAATGGGTGCTAGCTACCTCCCAGGCTTGTGAGGCTAGAATCAAGTAGGCTATAGACCGTGAATGCTCAGTGTCTGTTGGTTTTCTCTCTGGCCCCCCAGCCCACCCACCATGCCAGTCTCTCCCTCGGTTTTCCTCTCTGCTTCCACCTCCAATGAGCCATCGCGGAGCATCTGCTGAGGGTCCAGCCATCATTCTCCTTGGCTCATGGTCTGATGGGGGCCACGCTAGGGAGTGCCACTGGGAGGGGTGGCTCCAAGATGAGGGAAACAGCCAATGGCCTCAAAGAGACATTGGGGGGCTCCCTGTAGGAGGAGAGACGTGAGCTGGGCCTTGAGGGTGATTCACAGTAGGTACAAGGACATGTTAGCAGGTCGCAGCGTGGGGATGGACAGGGTTCCCGCATGTCAGAGATGTTGAGGCATTTGAGTGAAGGCAGGGAGTGGGCTTCCGAGAACCCAGGGAGAGAGGAGTGAGCTTGTTGGATGGGGACCAGCTCCCTCCCTTCTGCTCGCCCAGGCCTCTGGGAGCAGTGGGGCACTGCCAGCGCGCTGCTCGGAGTCACTTTGGGCACACCCGTGCACTCATGCTTAGTCCCTGGGGTCACGTAGGGACCGGGGCCCGGAGTTGTGTATGCTTGTTCTTCTCTAACCCTCCCCCAGCTCCTTGAACACGTGGAGACGCAGTGTGGCTCAGGGAAGCCTGGTGGGGTGGTGGGTGGCGGTTACGGGCTGGCTGGGCAGGGTGGCTCGGGAGATGGGTGGGCAGGGAGAGGGGCAGGAGGCTGGAGGGTCGTGGATGGGTGCGCGGTGGTGACTTAGTGGATGTGGCAGCAGGTTGGGAAGTGGGCAAGTGGGCGGGTGAGGTAGAGGGTGGGTGAGTGGGAGGCTAGGAGGATGTTTCCAGTTGCAGGCAGATGTGGCTGTGGGAAGTCGGGCTGCTGGGGGTGTTAATGGGGCAGGAGGAGGATGGATGGTGTGTTGACAGGTGGGAGGTGCATGAGTGGGTTTGGGACTGTGGGTGGGAAGACCGTGTCTGAGTGGGGTGGTGGGCACCTTGGCCAGTGGGAGGTGGATGGCAGTGGGTGTTGGCGGGTGTATGTCGAGGTGGGTGGGTGATGGGGGCATGGACGGTGAGCTGGTGAGTGAGGCGGGAGGTAGAGAGCTGGATGTAGGTTAACAGAGATGGGTGGGCGATGGATGCGTGGCTGGAGGAGGGCGGCCGTGCGTACTGACCACCCCGTCTTTTGGCAGGACACCATCCGCACATGGGAGAGTCCTGGCCCCGGGGCTCTGCACAGGAGGTGCCAGAGCTGAACCGCCAGTGCTGGGTGCTGGGGCACTGGGTGTGACTGAGACCCAGCGCGGCCCCCGGACCTCAGGCCGCCCGCCAGAAGACTGCTCTGGTGCCCCTGGAAAGCTGGCCTGTGTGCTGGGAACTCAGCCAGCCTGCGCGGGAGACACAGGCCTGCCCTCCCCACTGCCTCCTGGGGCTCAGGGCTCTGGACATGGAGCTGGAGTGGCCTGACGGAGTGCACAGGGCTGCGCATGGCGACTCTGGGACAGCAACCCCTGACTCTTGCCACCGTCACATGCAGCACCCTGTCCGGTGCAGCTGGGATACCACGGAAAGCCGGCCAGGAAGTTCAGGGCGTGTCCGGCGGCGCGGAGCCCTGCACGAGGCAGGGAGCGGGTGGGGCTTCCTGGCGTTGGCACCACAGGGTGGGGGGGGGCACACAGCAGGCACACAGCAGGGGCACAATAAATGCTTGTTGAACCTGTTTTCTTGCTATGTGTGGAGGCCAGTTGCTCTCTGGGCTGTGGCTGCTCCCCCAGGGCCCCACCCTATCGGGTCCTCAAGGAGCCTGAAGGTGGGACAGCCTGAGTGTGCTGGGGTCAGGGCCAGACACTGAGGTGCCGGAAGGAGGGAGCCCAGAGTGGAAGCTGGGTCTGGGGTGTCAGGGTCAGGGCGGAGCCAGGCTGGCAGGCTGCCTTGGATTCCAGAGGGTGGGCAAGGTAAGGATGGGACAGGCAGGTGGGGAATTTGGGAGACAGGCCCTCAAGCCCAGGCCTTAAGCTGTCCTGACCCCATGGGGACCCTTGACCCTGTGTCTACAGCTACCTTTACATCAAGTTCTGGGGCTTAGGTGCCTGGGGGAAACATCCCTATTATAAAGATGAGGGAACTTAGGGTCACAGAGATGAAGTAACTTGCCCAAGATCACAGAGCTAGTAAATGGCAGAGATGGGGTCAGACCCAGGACTTTAAGAAGCCTCATCCCGTTCCAGAAGGATTTCTAGAGCTTTCCCCCAAGTAGAGAATGTTCTTCATCCGTCCGTAAGTCCATCTATCATCCATCCATTATTCATCCTCCATCATCCGTCCATCAATCCTCCATCATCCTCACATCCATCCTCCATCATCCGTCCATCATCTATCCATCCATCCATCCTCCACCCACCCATCCATCCATGCATCCGTCCATCCACCCATCCATCACCAGCCCATCTATCTCCATCCTCCGTTCATCATCTATCCATCCATCCTCCATCCATCATCCATCATCCATCCATCCATCATCCACCCATCCATCATCCACCCACCCATCCATCATCCACCCACCCATCCATCATCCACCCATCCATCATCTATCATCCATCCATCCTCCACTTACCAGATATCATTCTTCCTTGTGTCAGATGTCCGTCCATCTTCCTTCTGCGTATGACCCATCCTCATTATTTAACTATCTGTGTATCCATCTATCTGGTGATACAGTTCATTGTGCCCCTACTATGTGCCAAGCACTGCAGTAGGCACTTGAGATAGGATATTAAGCCATCCAGATGGATGTCTGTCCTCACAGATGGGCATGACAGAGAACTAGACAGATAGATGGTTGTTGTATAGTGTGTGGCGTGTTTGGTGCCCGGCTCTGGGGCCAGGCAACCTGGGTTTAGATTCCAGCACCTCCCCGAGACCTTAGGCAAGTGACCTAACCTCTCTGTGCCTCCTCTCCATGGGCCATGGCAACAATCAGTACACCTACCTCTTACAGCTGTCCTGAGGGCTGAGCTCCGACATGCGAGGCATTTAGAACAGAGCCTGGCACAGAGTGAGTGCTTTGTTGGTGTTTGCTCTTATCTTGATGGGGCAAGTCAGGGGCTGTGGGATCCCAAAGGCAGCACCTGCTGGGGGAGGGAGGAGGAGGCGGTGGTCAGGAGGGCTCCTTTGGGAAAAAGATATTTAAGCCAAGACATGGAGGTTGTCTAGATGTCAGGCAAGAGGAGAGAGAGGAAGAAAGTCGGAACATTACAGGAACCTTACCACAGTCTAGACAGCAGGTGTGGAGAGAGGGGAGGGTCACAGGGGGTGAGAAATGCGGCTGCAGAGGAGGTCGGGGGAGCCAGGCCAGAGGGACTCAAAGCCTCCCTAGGAAGCTTGGACCTACCCACAGTCCACAGCCCCGCTGTGCATTTCTAGGAGGATCTCTGCCGCCGTATCCCTCCCATGCTCAGAGAGAGAGAAGACGGTGATCTGGTTCACAAAGTGGCCCCAGGGATGGGACAACGAGGGCAGAGTCAGGAGCCAGTCACGAGGGAAAATCAACAGACTCATGTAGGGGGAAAGTCGGCAAAGTCTCTCAGATTCCGGGCTTGGGTCAGGGGCGGGTCCAGATGGCTTGAGTCTCAGGTGCCAGGGGACACCCACGTGGAGGTGTGTGCTCATTCATTCACGCATGCATTGATTTATCAAGAGATTCATTAATCCATTTTCCATTCAGTCAGTAAATATTGTGCACCTACTGTGTGCGGCGGGAGATGGGCCTGGGAGGGGGATTGGGGTCCACTGACAAAGATCTCGCATGTCAGGACCAGGAGTTTGGGCTTTGGCTCCTGGGCAGGACGTGGGGCTGGGCTCCCAGGGCCCCGGGCATCTTGGGGCTCTTTCTCCTCAGCTGGGGTCCTTCTGTAGTTGGCGGCTGGACCTCCAAAGCCCACGACATGATTTTAATCAACACATGGGCACAATTTTAATCTATTTTAATAGTTGTGTTTATGTAAATGTGTATTAGGAAAAAATGTATAATGGGCACATTAGTGTCATGATTTCACCGACGCTGTTGCTTAGAACGAAACCAAAATAGGCATTTAAGTAAAAAGACAAAGAGCTGGCTTGAAGAAAAATATTCAATAAATAATCGTGCAAGTAGTTTGCGATTACGGTATGTGGACGGCTCAGGCAAAGGCCTTTCTTAGCCCCTGCATAAGTCCATCCATCAGTACCCCCGTCCCTCTGGGCACCTGTCGGGCAGAGGGTGAGCCCCCGCTCTCCATGTCATGGAGCCGACAGCAAGAAGGCTGTTCGTGAGGTGAAAGGAAGCATTGCCAGGCAGGCCCGAGCATGGTCCCAGTGGCTCCCTACTGAGTGTTACTGGGAGGGGGGTCTTGATGCGGGGGGCAAATGCATCTGGGAGGAGGGAAGGCCACCCGGGCTGAAGGCAGGAGGTCCCTGGGTGTGCACGTGGAGGTCTGCCCCGAGCACCCGCACCCAGCATCCCTGTGTCCACGTTCTCCGGACTCCTGTACACACACCAACCCCAACAAGCCTGAGTTAGCGCTTGGTGCTAAGTGTGTGTGCGCCCACTGGCCCTGAGCCCACGCTCCCAGGGCGTGAGCTGGTCCTGGACGCGGACTGGCCTGCACGCGCTCGGTGGGCCCGCAGTGGGGGCTCTGCCTTGTTGGCTCACACCACGTCCTCTCCCCGGGTGCAGGGGGCCGTGGGGACCCTAGCTAAGGGCTAATGGGCAGGCCCAGGCCTCAGGAAGTGGTGGGGCTGACCTCCCTCCTTGGCTGGCGGATGTGATGGGCGGTCATCCCTGCCACCCTCACCGAAGCCAAACTCTTCCGGCCACACACTTGTCTCCCGCAGGTAATGGAAACGTCAACTTGATTCATGGGCATCTGTTTGCTGCAGCCAGGCCTGACTTGTCCTGCTGGGGAGGCTCATCACCCAGGAGGAAGTGAGGACAGAGGAAAACATCAGTGGCCATGGAGTTAGTTCAAATCCTGAGACCAAATCACAGACCTGCAGTGGGCCCCATTCGCCCCTGAACCGCTCACGGAGACTCTCCTGTGTGCCAGGCACAACGGGGCACCCGAGCCACCACGGTGAGGTGGGAGGACATGATCTTCACCCTCACCGGAGTTTGTATTCCAGCAAGGAGACCGAGACTACTCAAATCATTCAAACAACAAAAATATCACTTCCAAGTGTGAGAAGTGCTATGTAAGCGAACAAGGGAAGGCCTGATTGACACTGGAACGGTGAGGGTGGGCCTCTCAGGAAGGGCCATGCAGGAGGGACTGAAAGAAGCAGCAAGGGAGTCTGGGCAGAAGCCACGGCGTGTGCAAAGGCCCTGGGGTTGAGAGGAATGTTGTGTGTGGCACTGTGACAGGACACAGTGCTTGGAGCTCAAGGTGAGGGTATCAAGTCTGCTGCTGAGCAGTTGGTCTTCAGGGGTTGGAGCTGGTGGGGCCTGGGGGTGATGGCCAGGAGTGCGGCCTTCGCCTGGAAGGTTCCACAGGGAACCACGGGCAGGAGGATTTTTAGAGGAGGACATGGCAAGTTCCTCCCGGTTGTGTGGAGGGAAGGCCTGGGAGATGGGGTGCAAGGCAGAGGCAGGGTGACCAGAGAGGGGGCTGCAGCAGGTCCTGGTGGGACTTAGAGGCTTAGGCTGCGGCGGCACCAGGAATGAGCTAGGTCGCCCCAGTGTGGCTTGGGGACGGGTGAGGGGACAAGGCACACCGGGGCTTGGCTAGCTGTTCTCTGAGGCTCCTGTCTGGGCTTTGATGCTGTGCAGACGGGGACACCTTGGGCCACTTGGGGCCACAGCAGGAATCAGAAGTGTCATCTGAGCGGATGAATTAGAAAAGTGCCTGACCTCAAACCATAGGAGCCACGGCCTGGGGCACACGGCGCTGGAGTTTAGCGCCACTCACCCTTTCTCCAGGGCTGCGGCCAGTGAACAGATCGCACCACCGCACGGGTGGACGGGACTGAGGACAAACTCAGCCCAGCCGGGGACCATCAGTCATGAGGGAAAACCAGTCTCCTCTGTGTGGGGATTTACTGAGTGGACAGACAGGAGATCCCGGTGCAGGACCTCTGCTCTGTCCCCAGCACGGCCCAGTCCGAGACACCCCGGTAATTGCTTTGGGGGCCACATTTCGTCCTGGACTGACACCGGCCGAGCCTCTGCCTTACGGGGAAGCTGGTGGCCGGGCTGCCGCCAGGACGGGCCGGGATGCAGGGGTTGGGGGGCGCCCTGAGACAAGTGGTCAGGGGACTTCCATGTGGGAGAAGTTCCACCACATGAAGCCAGGCTGGTGAGCCCCTGCCCCAAGCACCCCTCCGTGCCCCCCCCGGTCTGATCCCCCCAGGAACGGCCAGGGTGAGTGTGGGCGGCCTGGGGGGTGCAGGCTGGGCTGCGGAGCGAGGCGAGCGGCCTGCAGGGGCTGAGACCCCACCTCTGCTCTGAGGTCGGTTCCCCTCATGGCCCAACCGGAGGAGGCTGGGGGGTCGTCCCAAGGGTCAGGAGGGGCCGGTGGAAGGCGGGGCCGGGTGCTCCGGGGAGGAGCCCATGGTCGGGAGCTGGGCAGCCTTGGAGCCCCAACTTAGCCCCAAGGACACCGCACACCTGGGGCCCTATCTGTCGCCAGGGGCTCGGCCCCTCCCCCCCCAGGCCCCACGGCCCTGGCAGCTGTGCACACTTGTGCACACTTGTGCACGCACCTGTGCACACAGCTGTGCACGCTCCAACGCCGGCAGGCCATGCAGGTGATGCAGGTGAGGGACGCAGGCGGGGCCCCAGACAGAGGGGCCTTGGGGGCCCCGGCGGCCATGAGTAAAGGGGACCAGAGCTGCCTGTTCTTGCAGGGAAGCAGGGGGCTGTCCGGACCCGCGCAGCCAGCCAGATTGGAGTGGGCTCTGCTGTTCCACTCGCCGGCTGGGTGGGACCGGGAGCCTCCGGTGGGGACTTGAGGCAGGGCGGGGGGGGCGGTGAGGACATGGCAGCAAACAGGCCCGGGCGGGGGCAGCCGCCCCCTGTCAAGAGTGCAGAGACCGCCGTGGCAGGCTCCGGGCGAGCCCCGGGGGCCTCTGCGGTCGTGGTGCCCATGCAGGACTGTCCGGGGACCAACGAACAAACACGCAGAGGCAGGTCCTTCCCACTGGCCGGACAGAGGAGGTGGGTCCCCCGGGGGCCAGAGGCCAGAGGCCGGCTCTTCCGTAGGCCCCTCGTCAGCTGTGGCCCGGAGTGGAACCCCACGCCAGGTGCCAGCCAGCCCCCCGACCCCACAGCCCAGTGCCGATGCGAGGG